GAGAATCCCAGAGTGGTTTGGGGTGGGAGGGACATTAATCCCCATCCCATTCCACCCCATTCCACCATCCCAGGCTGCTCCCAGCCCGTCCAGCCTGGCCTTGGACCCTCCCAGGAACCAGGGGCAGCCACGGCTGCAATTTCTGATCATGAATGATATCAAAAAATCTGTCCTTAATTGCCATCCTGAGATCCTCAATCAATCCCCAGGAGGAATCCCAGGAATGAGAATCTCCAGAACCTGAGGAGCACCTGAGATCCTCAATCCACCCCAGGAGGAATCCCGGGAACGAGAACCTCTGGAACCCAAAAGAGCACTGAGTTCCTCAATCCATCCCCAGGAGAAATTCTGGGAATGAGAATCTCCAAAACCCTGAGAAGCACCTGAGATCCTCAATCCATCCCAGGAGGAATCCCAGGCATGAGAACCTCTGGAACCCTGAGGAGCACTGATACCCTCAGTCCATCCTGAGACCCTAAATCCATCCCAGGAAAACATCCCAGGAATGAGAATCTCCAGAACCCTGAGGAGCACTGAGATCCTCAATCCATCCCAGGAGGAATCCTGGGAACAAGAACCTCTAGAACCCTGAGGAGCACCTGGAATCCTCAATCCATCCCAGAAATGAGAACCTCTGGAACCACGAGGAGCATTGAGATCCTCAATCCATCCCGAGGAGGAATCCCAGAAACGAGAACCCCCAGAACCCTGAGGAGCACCTGAGACCCTCAATCCATCCCCAGGAACGAGAACCTCCAGAGCCCTGAAGAGCCCTGAGATCCTCAATCCATCCTGAAATCCTCAATCCATCCTGAGACCCTCAATCCATCCCCAGGGAGGAATTCTGGGAATGAGAACCTCCTGAACCTGAGGAGCACCTGGAATCCTCAATCCGTCTCCAGGGAAGCTTCCCAGGAATGAGAACCTCCAAAACCCTGAGGAGCTCCTGAGATCCTCAATCCATCCTGAGATCCTCAATCCAGCCCCAGGAGAGATTCTGGGAATGAGAACCTCCAGAACCCTGAGGAGCAATCCTGGTGGGATGCGGCACATTCAGCCAACAGGAAGGTGACGAATAAATGTGTCCCCTGCCCCACAGATTTGTCCCCTGCCCCACAGATCCATCCCCTGCCCCACAGATCCATCCCCTGCCCCACAGATTTGACCCCATAAACCCCTCCCAGCTGTAGCCCCATAGACAACCCCAAACCCTGCAGGGTCCCCGTGAGCAGCGGGAACGTTCCTCACCAGCTCGGAGAACTCGTTATTGCCCARGTCGAGCCTCTCCAGCTGCGTCAGTTTGTGCATTGACCTGGAACAGATGGGGACACCCTTCAGAGGAGATCTGCTCTTCAAAAATCACATATTTACCTGAAAATGGCTGATTTTGCCTTTGGAGCTGCACTCAGCTGATAAAACCATCTCCATCTTCCATTATATCATGGAATAACTATTTTTTTTTTGCTAAAAATTCAGAATTTCTTTCATAAAAACGTTCAGAATTTCTTTCATAAAAACATTCAGAATTTCTTTCATAAAAACCTTCAGAATCTTTTTCATAAACGCAAAAAAAAGCAACCCCAAAACCCTCATAACAGAAACATTGCATTGCTATTGATCCAATAATCCGATATTTGGCACTGCTGGAAATTCCAGGGAAAATTCCACGTCAACATTCCCATCACTTACTTTGGTAGAGTTTTCAAGTGGTTTTCCCTCAACTCCAAAATTCGCAATTTGACGAGTCTGGAAAGAGGAGAGAAAACAATCAGTGCCTTCCAAAAATCCGTCAGAATGGTTGGAATTTATTTATTTCAATTAAAAAAAAAAATCTGTTTTGTTACAATAATCCAATATCCTTGTGGGGCTGAATCTGGCACAAAACGCAGAACCAAATAATTTCATTTAATATCTGCTCTTTCCTGAACTCTTTGGAAAAGTTCTGATGGTTTTTCAGTTTTTCATGATTTTAAATTGATTTTTAATAAATTCCTGTGCAAGGCAAGCATGGGAAAAATTGGGAAGTTTGGAAAAAACAAAAAAGTGAATGGAAATGAGTGAGGTTTGTAAATGAAAGGTCCCAAATGGACCCTACAGGAGAGGAATAATGATAAAAATGGAACTGGAGCCGCTTGGTTTGGATAAAATGAGCATTTGTACAAAAAAAGTGTTTTCTGCTGAAGAATTTGGGCTCCTAAATGGATCCTGAACACAAAAAATTGCAGCCCAACCCCATCAGGGTTTTTCAAGAGCAGGAAGGGCACCAACAGCACCCTGAGGGGTTCATCCATCACTTTTTCATGGACATTTTAATGGGATTTTAATCCCATTGCCAGGGCAGGGGTTGGGGGTGATCCCACATCCCACACAAACAATTCCCATTCTGCTCCTCGGGCTCCCCAAAGGCCCCAGGGATGGGGGAGGCAGAGGTTTCATTGCCCCAACCCAAATCCTGCCCTTCCCAGCGGGATTTTGTGCCCTCGGGGTCATTTCTGGGGA